GCAGACTCTTGTCATCTCACTAAAATCTGACACAGGGGTCACGGCAAACAATAACCTGCATGACCCCCTGACCCGTGGGGCTCAGTCGCTTGGGCGTCGTCCTGCAAGCCGGAAGGTGGCCGGGTGGATTCCGCTCAGGGCACGTGCCTGGGCCGCGGGTTCGGTCCCCAGGTGGGACACGGACGAGAGGCAGCGGATGGGTGTTTCTGTCTCGCATCGATGTTTCTCTCCCTCTCTCCCTCCCTCCGTCCCCTCTGTCTGCAAATAAAATGTTTGGGGAAAAAGAAATCTGCCCCTTTAAAATAAAAAAAAAACACCTGCCTGACACATTTATTTCTCTAACAGTCATATTAACTACAACTTAGTCAACGCTTGCTGTGCGTCATTTGCTGGGTAACGTAAATCCCAGCAACGACTTGAAAATTTAGGTATTATGTTATCCCCACGTTGCCGCGAGGAAACTAACTTTTGAGAGGTGAAGGCCTTTGCTCCTTCCATCACCTGCCGCCCGTGAACAAGCCATGCGAGACCCAAGCACCCAACGGCCCCTCGCTCCTCCGCACCCGCCCGCGCTGAGCCCCCCGCTGTCACGGTGCCGACCCGAAGGCACTCGCTTCCCGCAGGGGCCTGGCCGGTGCCTTTGCAGTCTTGCCCCGTCGCGTCTCTCGGGGACATCGGCGTGGCCATGAGGTGGCCCGTTCATGTCGGCCGCCTCACGGGGCCCCCTGGGCTCCGGGGTCCCCCCACGTCCCCCAGAGCGTGAGGAGACGGTCTCATCCCTCCACCCCCACCATCTCGACTCCCCTGCCAACATTCCCCACACACGCGTTTCTTTCCGGAGGAAGCGATTGCTTCTGCCAAGAGCTTCAGGGGAGGAACGGAGGCCTAAATCTCTGCTGCCGTTTCACCTGCTGCCTGAGAGAGGCCTTCACCTGCCCCACCACCCCGCCCGCGAGCAGGTGCGGCGAGCCCCTTCCTCGCGCCTCTCGCTGCCGTGGAAGGCTCGGCCCCATTGTGCAGGCCTCTCCCTCCAGGGTTAGAGAGAGAATAACCTTCCGGTCTGTCTGCCCCGGGGTTTGCCTCCTGACACTTAAACGCACCATTTGAAAATAAAAATAATACAAGCAGCAATTTCTTCGGGGAAGAAAAATGCTTTGCTTTCAAGACCCATGTTCCGGCTATGAACTGAGTTCGGCTTTGCTACTCCAAGCCCCCCATTTGACCTTGATCCTCCGAGGTTTTCGGCGTTGACCCGCTGGGGATGGGGGGTGGGGGGCGGCACTCGGCTCAGCCGCAGGTGAGGGAGGAAACGCGGGCGCACGAGGAGAAAACATGCCCCACCTGGCACGTCCAAAATCTGCAGCCAGCGCGCAATCAGATGGGTGCAAATAAGAAACAGACTCAAACAAGCTGCTTTTCGCTGCGATTAACCAGAAAACGAACAGCTGACACATATGCTTTATGGATCCTTGTTGCTGTAGAGGTGGAATCAAGAAGCTGGCCTTTTTGGAAATAGTTTGATCTCTGTAGTTTTATCGGACTTCAAAAGGAGAAGGGATTTCTCGGGGACAAAATGTCACCAAAGTTTTACAAAGGAGTCTTGAATGACTCTCTTGCCACGCTTTGGGGGTGTTGATACTACAATTCAAAACTTTGTTTTGTTTGTTTTGTTGTGGGTTGCCATTCTCCTTTATTAAGATTTTATTTGGATAGAATCTCCCACATTAAGGATGACTCTCTTTTATTCTGTTTTTTTAATTGTTGCTAAAGGAAAGTTTCGTTTTTTTCAAAAGTATTTCTACACGTTCCTATGACCCCACGCGAGGCGAACGGATATAATTCATATTAATAACAGAAACATCGACACTTGGCGTTTTTTGGTGGTATTTTTTTTTTTTACCAAAGAAGCGTTTTTAACCGAAGGTATCAGTGATAGAACACAGAAACCGCTTGGCACAGTGGAAAGGCAGGTCACTGAGGCTGCTTCCCTCCTCGTTGGGGACACGGGAGACGGAAGCCTTCCACAGACCGTGTGGTGTTGGAACGGCAGGCAGGCCCATCCAGCGTTGCTAGCGCGACTAAGAGCTAGTGTCCTGCGCATACACCCCTGGCTTGGAGGGGGCAGGGGGAGGGGCAACGTAAAGTCGTAGATGATTGACACCCAAAACCGCTGCTAAACCGTGGGCACTGACGGTCGTAGACACGGTCAAGGCAGCGTGACGCTGGGATCGTCAGACCCCGACGCACTTTCCGCAGAGCGAGGCGCGTCGTCCTCCACGCCCCACGCCTTCCGCGCCGCTCGCCCGGGCCCCCAAAGGAGAGCTGCCTGAATCTCCCTGTGCAGCCCCGGAAACTGCTCCTTTTCCTTCTTAAGTGAAAAATACAAGGTGTTTATGTTGCAGGCAATAAACGCGGGCAGTCCACGGGGCAGGCTGAAGGATACTTTATTACTGAATCAGTATGTACACACTCTAACGTGAAAATCATGAGTCACAGAATCGCAGGCTATGTACAATACTTTTTTGTTTGTTTTTTTTTTTTACACATTGTTTTTTTACACGATTATGTCTCTAAATACCATGTCGGACGCACACACGGATCCAATTTTTATGACACACGTAAATAAATATTTTGTTTCCAAGGGGGGGGGGGGTTTCTACAGACCCCCGTGGATGAGACTGGAGCCGTTTGTTATCTGCACTCTGTGATATAATTAAGGAAAGAGAAACAATCACCTGACATCTGGACCGCTGTTGGTCACGTGCGTCAGGTGCCCCCCTTGCCCAAATCTTCTGTGCAGGCTCCGCACTGGGTCCGCCCCGCAACGCCGCCGAGAAGACTCCCCATCTCTACGCGCCTTATCGTGTGCCAACGCGTTTTAAAGTACATGCCACAGATACGGAGCGTTTGCGTCCTGGCCACGCCCCAAGAGTCCGCCAGAAGGCGGGCAGGCGCCCGCGATCGTGGGAGGGGGTCCCGCACCGGCATCGGGAAGGGCGGGGAACCAGCACGTCGTTCTCGCAGACGACAAGGACAGCTACGGAGGGCATTCCTATTTGCGTGCAGGGTGCACACCTAAGCTAAAGATTCAACCTATTAGACGGGTTTTCCAGGGGACGTAGAAGAGACAGTGTTGGGCTTTGAAGTCACCGGTCTTAAGCTCCCGGCTGCTGCCCTGCCCAGGGCGCCGCCTACAGCGCGAAGTCTCACCGAGCCAGTGAGGTCGCGCTACCCTGCGGCGGTTCCAGACCGGGGGTGACCGTGTGTCTCCAGGGCGGTTGGCAACGTCTGGAGAGTTTGTGGGTGCACACCGGGGCACGGGGAGTGCTTCCTGCCTCGGGTGGGTGGGGACCAGGGAGGGTGTGCAACACCCTGCAACGCATGGCACCGTCCCTACAATGGACAACAATCAATGCCGCTCCCCCATCCCGTGTCAGCGGAGCCGCGGTGAGCACCCTCGTCTGCAGACTTGGCTACGGGCTCTTTTAGGTTTCTAGGGTGTAGATGTATTTGTAAGCTTTGAAGTTCGTTTGCCACACATGTTAAAGTGGGACCTGTCAGAGCGTCCTTGGCCCTCCTATATCACACTAAAACTAGGGCTGACTCGAAAGGACGGGCGTTGCCTTGGAAGAAGTGCGCCACGCGGCTGTGCTCAGGAAAAGCGGAAAGGGTGGGCGGCTCCGCCGGGAATCGCGGCGGGGGGCGGGGCGCGCCCGTGGGGGGCGCGCCAGTGGGAAGCGCGCGCGCAGCGGCCGTGCGCACCAAGCCCGCAGCCCGTGCCGGGCGCGCTGGTATTTCGAAGAGCTCGGTTCTTTTATAGAGCACATGCTGTCACCGAAAATACGGGCTGGGCAAAGGCAGGCTTACCGTGGCGCAGACCCGAAACGAAGTTTATTCTTGTACTATTTTCCATACGAACCACTGTAAATCTACTTTTGCCCCCTCCCCATATTTTTTCATGAGACATGCATCTCATGTCCATGAAATCAGAGATGTAGCCACTGAAACTATGTGTTTTTTTTTAATAAAAACAGACTTTTACCCCTCCATTAGGGCACCCAAATTTTTGTAATTCAAAAAAACTGAAATTCTATTTTTTTCTCATTTGAATACTATCGGTGATGAGTGAAATTCATGAAAGCTTAGGTTTTATTGCCTGATGAATAACATTTTCTTCCAATCATAGCACTACAACTTAAATTATTCACTAGTATAGCAAAATCAGATGCTGCTTGAGATTTCTTAAAAGCTTCGAACCTTCATTAGAACGAAACACACATGTGCTCCATGTCCCTTACCCAGGCAAAAGCAATATAATTAAAGTTTATAAAAATTAAACTTCTATAATAATAATACTTTGCATCTATGTATATCTGCCTGCATCTTAAGCTATACAACTATACAGAAGTTTGCTGGCACAAACCCCGGGGTTTGTTCATGAGCAATGAAGGGGAAAGAAGACCTTGCCGCGGATCATGAGAAGTCCTGATTTCTGAACTTTTAGGAATTTGCAGTTTGGATGCTGGTAGCGAGAGTAGAAGGAATGGCGGTTTGAGAGAGCGCTCTGCAGAGTGTGCGGATTTCGGGGCTGCGGAGCGTTTACACGAAGCCCTGCCCCGCTCTCTCCATTGAAAATGGGTCATTCTCGTTCCCGGGCGATTTCCCACCTCTGGCCTGAGCGCGTCCCCGACCACGTTCCGTTCAGAAGCAGCACGCACAGCGGCGCTGAGGTTTCCCAGCGCGGCGCTGGAGGTGCCGGCGGCAGAAGAGCACCGCCCCCGCTGCACCCTGCGCGCCCTTCCCCAGGCAGGGAGGGTTCTCTGTCTGCGCACGGCACGGTGCGCAAGCTCCGGTGCGGGGGCGGGGGGCGCTCCTCAAGGCGTGCGGGGCGGAGCCATGGGAACCTCTCCGTGGCTTGTTGCACCTGCTGGGAGCCGCCGGGCGGGGGCGCTCTGAGCAGGGAGCCCAGAGAGGGGGCGCACCCCAAAGGCTCCCAGGGATACTGCCAACAACCAGGACTAGTCCTACCGCGAAACCTAACGAGAGCGTTCCCCCAGATGTCCTCGCCTCTCGTGGGTAGGTCAGGGGAACAAGGAACCCTTGCTGTCAAAATGTGTCATTTTGATAAATTGCTCTTTTCTCATGGGGTTGACATGGATGGGGGACAATCTATTACCCACTGGACCTGCACGAGAACTGTGCCTTTATCCAATGCTGGGGGGCTGCGGAAGCAACTTCCTCCGCGATCCATCCTCAAGGTCCATGTGGCATGTCTGCACATGTATGTATCTGTGTATCTATAGACACAGACACACACCTGTAGCTAGACGGACACACACGTGCATGCGTGAAACATCATATGCGGGCACTGCCTTAAGAAAGAGGGGTTCCCGAACACTGTGCGCCAACACGCACGGCATCACTGCCCACTGCTGACACATCTGACAGGAACGCCCCCAGTCACGCGGTCGTCCAAGCCCGGGACGTGCCCAAGCCGGGGCGTGTAACAGACTTGCAGAAGTCAGCGCTGGTGACAGGGAAAGGAGCACCCTCTACCGCCGAAAGGCGCTTCCCTTTCCACACCAGGAGGCCGTGGCGGCGCACAGAGGGCTTCCTTCGGCGACCCCCCGACAGGGCAGACTGCGGAAGGGCCGGCACGTACCCCATCGTGGGGACGGTCTCATTCTCAGGAGGGGCCTTAGTGCATTTTTAGACACAGGAAGTGGGGAACAAAGCGTAGCAGCGGCTGGTTTCAGGAGGGAAAAGAGGAACATCAATAAGACAGTAAATTTGGGAAACTTCTCAGGCTCCAGGGGGAACCACTAGAAAGCAGCCCAGAAAAGCACGCTGGTTTCTGCAAAGGGAGCGCTGGGCCGCAGCCTCGCTCCCTGAGCCCGTCCTGCTGTGCACGGGTCTCCTAGGCCGGGACGGACGGGCTGAACTCTCCTTTGTCTTTGCATACAAGGGAACACACGGGACTTACAAGGGGGACATTTTTAGACATACATGAACGTGGTATATTTCAGGTTAACATTTTCAATTAAAAGTCGCATGGAATAAAAGTCATCTTAGGCAACATCTGAATAAATAGGACCCGAAGACTACGTGATCTTAGTTGGCTTTGCAAATCAAGTCAATAATTTAATAAAACGCTTTCATCAACTCCCTTCAGGCTTCGCCTGTGTGTGCACGGGGTGCTGGTTACGAGCATGTGTTTTGAGAACTGGCTGCTCTGAACTCAGGGCAACGTCCGTCCTGCGCCGACTCCAGAGGGATTCGCCAACGCGCGCGTGGCCGCGGAATCCGCAGGCACGGGCCTCGCCTCCGTTGGGGCCGCGCTCGCACTGCCGGAGGCCCGTCCGGAGGCCTCAGCCACGGACAGCGGTTGCCAGGGAGAGGGCGGGCTGCAGGGACACCGGTGCGTCTGGAAGGCGGAGGGCGAGCCCCCAGTCCGAGCCGCTGGCTGGCGCCCCTTTGAGCAGGTTAGTATCTCTGCGGCGGCGACTTGTAATGATGCGGGTGGCGGTGCTTCAGGTGCGGCCCTGAGGAGACACAGGACACACGGGGCGGTCACGGCGCCGCCCCCAACCCGTCCTGACCTGAAAGGGCGCCCGCCGGGCAGTTGGTCTCCCTTCCTCTGCTCTCCCCGCCTCTCCTGTCCGTCGCTGGGAAACGCCAAACATCCCAAGGGAGAAAGGGCTGCTCCTCCCCTGCGGGCCACGGTTTACAGGAGCGACCCCACGCCCGCGTCCTCGCCCTAGAGGAGTCCCAAAACTCACGAAGACGCCCCGCAAACAATTCCCGCGGAGGGTGTCCGCACAGCCCCCCTCCGTCTGTGGGGCGGGGGGAAGGACCGCGACACTCGCCCAGGGCAGGGCCTTCGACGTCCTTCCGATTCCAACCATAAAGCGGCCTCAGGGCAAGCTCTGGCCATCTTTTTTTTTTTGTTTAATCAGAAGTTAAACTAGAATTACATCTCCATTATTTTATCAACACGCAAACCTGTAGACATGGCTTTTCCATGTATGTATTTATCCTCACCCGCAGACATGCCTTAAGAGGAGAAGGGCGGGAGAGGAAGAGGAAGAGGAACCTCAATCAGCCGCCTCTCTCACACGCCCGTGGGGATCGAACCCGCCACCTCGGCGTGGGCCCTGACCGAGACCTGAACCCATGACCCTTCAGTTCACGGCATGACGCTGCCACCGACTGAGCCACACCAGGGAGGTGGCTTTTCAATTTAATCTGGATAAAAATTTAAAAGAGCACATATTTAAAACCCAGAAAGACGGTGATGGTTTATAAACAGCAGGTAACACGTTTTTAAAGAAAATTGTACTTGCGTCAGCTAGATTGGGGTCCTATTCTGAAGAGAGGTCACGTCATGTCTTACAGTGTGATGTCTGTATGAAAAAAATAAGCTCCTCAGCCAAATCCTACGTCCTCCATTGTCATGTCTGAAAATCGGAATTTTGAAAAAATTTCCCATCGATAGGATTATCAATTTTTCCCGCATGTGTTTATGGGTGGAAAGAGAAGAAAGGGCAGGCAGTGTGCGGAAAATAAATGGCAGGGTCAAAAAAGACAGGGAGGGCGAGAAGGAGGGAGGAAGGAGCCGTTAGGCTTCCCCGCCCCCCGGTCCCCTGCCCCGGGCTTCGGCTGAAGCGGATCCCGGCAGGCAGCCGGACACCGGAGGAGGACGCCTCAGACGAAGAGCAGCCCCCGGCGTAGGCGCCGGCGAGCCCTCGTTTCCTTCCCGCCCAGCCGGCTGGGCCTGCCCGGAGGCGGCGGCTCTTACTGTGCGCGGGCGGCGGGAGATCAGGCGTCCGGAAGGTCCTGATGGTGGCCGGGCCCTCCCCGCCCGGGGTCAGCGCCTGGACCTCCAGTCGGTACAGGGTGGCCGGCCTGAGGTTGGGCACCGTGAGGACGTCATGCTCCTGAGGCGGGGGACACAAGACGAGAGGCGCATCAGACTGTTTGTTTGAGACGCAGCACCCACGGGGATGCGGGGTCGGGCCGTCCCTGCCCGGGTGACGCGTTCGGTGGCGGCTGCCACTGCAGGGAGCAGGCAGCTGCGGCCCCTGACTCCTAGACGTGCCCGCGGCGCGGCGGTGCCTCGGCGCCTCGGCAGCCAGCGCGGTGCCGGGCGCCTGGGGACCCTTGGCGGCGCGCCCACGTGCACGGTGCCAGCTCGCAGGGCTCCCCGCCCGACTGAGCCCTTCCACGAGTCCTTCCCACGGTCTGCGGTTCCATGGGCGCGGCCTGCGCCGGGGGCTCTCGGGGTGCCAAGCTCCGCGGGCCAGCCAACTGTGCCCTCAGATGGCACGGTCTCTGTCAGGGCCCGTGGCTGCAGCCGTGGATTTCCAGGCCAACACATTCTTCTCGCAACTCAATAAAACCTAACACGTTGACAGAATAGCTTTCTCATTCCATGGGATCTTTCCTTCTGGGGGTTAAGGGGTTTTTTTCTTCCTTTTGGAAGCAGAGCTTGGATAGCGTAAGGGCGTTTGCAAAGAGCGTGCAAGCCCACAGGCGGGCACTTTTATTTTTGAGCCAAGGAGTGAAGTGGCCTGGAAGACAGGCCGCGTTGGAACCGGGCAAAGGAAGGGAGACAAGGAGCTGCTTTTCGCTACTTTCTCCCCAATTAATGCTTGTAACTGGGCGTGTCCGCTTGGGCAAGGGGGACGTGGGGCTAACAAAGGCGGGGAGACATGGGGAAACGGCTTGTCTACAGCGTACAGGGCACAGGGTCTCAATGATCCAGAGGGTGGTTGATTCTACTCACAGTGAGAGTCATAGTGTCAGTTCCCTTGCAAAAGAACACACTCACAAGGAGGAAATGTGGAGCTAAGACACGTCAGGGAAAATCGGGGCCCCGCCGATCCCTGGGCGTGCGCAGCAACCGTGGGCAGCGACCGTGGGCAGCGAGCCCGGGGCGCGGAGAGCACCTACCGCGGGCAGGATCTGGGACTGGGAGATGATGCTGTTGGGCAAGCTGTTCTGCCTGCTCTCCGTCGTCACCTCTGCCCACGTCACCTGGAAGCCAGTCATGGGCTGCGAGAGGCTGGCCTTGGCCATCTTCCACGAGAAGCGGCCCGTGACGTTCGCGTCCTGGACGGCGAAGGACGCGGAAAGGTTCTCCGGCTTGGCCAGCACTTTGGGGGCAACGTGACCTGGAGCAATTCAAGGAGCAAAAAGCAGGGTCCGGCTGCGGGGATGGCGCGGAGGTGGCCCCTGTGTGACCCTCCCGCCCGCAGGGCATGTAGAAGCTGCGGGGCGTCCGTGGTGGCTCCGCGCGGCCTCGAGCGCTCGGCTCTGGGGCTGGGACCGGGTTTGAGCAGGCCCCGCCCTTGCCACGCCACTCTCCGCCAAGGGCTTCTGACCCTCTGGGCTTGTTTTTAGGACCCGGCCATGCGGGTGAGAGACAGCAAGAATCTTGAACTCTGGGGAGACTTGGCTATTTCTTAGAGGACAGCAGGGAGCCCTCAGGTAGGGACCGCAGCGGAGAGCACGGATGCTGAGGCGAGTTACTCGGGGGAGCGAGGGCACCGAGCGCGAGCCGCGGTGGTGGTCCGCGCTGCAGACAAGGGCCTCGCCACGATCGAGGGGAAGGCGTGGGGTGTGGACGGGGTGGGTCAATCACCGCCCCCCCCCACCCACCAGCGAAGGAGCGCGCGAAGCAGGGACCCAGCCACAGAGAGCACGCCCAACGCATGCAGCCTCTGCGCGTCCGCCTCCGCGTCTAGAGGGGCCCGGCCGCCAGGACAGAGCGCCTTGGCGGTGCTGGGACAGTGACGGAATCAGGTACCGCCCTCAGTCACACACCGAGAAAACCTCGCAGCTGGGCTGGGGCCTGGCCATTCAGGCCGCGGGGAGCTCCCCGTCCGTGGCGCCGTGAACGCGGCGGGGACGCGTCTGCGGAGTGGCCAACGCCTGGCCGCGCGCGGACGCCCGGCCCACGCACCTGCGTCTCCGGGGCAGCTGGCGTGCCCGCGGCTTTTGCCCTTCAGCGCGGAGCAGGGCGGCGTCCGGAAGAAGACCGTGTGCGCCTTCCAGCGCCCCTTGGGCCCCGCCGGCTGCACGGTCACCTTGTACTTGCAGGAAAACGAGAGGTCTTGCAGAATTATGTAGTTTTCCTAGGGCCGGAGAGAGGAAGAGGGCGGCAGTACGGCTCAGTAAGAGTGAGGGAACAGGGGCGGCAGGCGGGGTTGAGTTCGCACGCGGACCTGGGCCTCCACAGGGAGCCGGTGCAGAGCGGCTCTCATGCCAGGCACCGGGAGGCTGCGCCGCTTGGAGGAGCCACCCCGGGAAGCCCTGGCAGGCTGGACGCGTCGCCCAGGATGGGGCAGAACCGCAGCGATCACGCTGGCGGGACCCGTGAGAGCCGCTCTCGGTCTTGCAGAAAGGAAGGAGCCCGGGCAGGCTTCCAGGGCGGGTTTCAATGACAGAATCAGGAGCGCGCTCTCTCGCCCCGCGCTCTCCCCCCTCGGGAGGGCGGCCCTGCTCTCTGCCACAGCGCTGGGCCACGAGGGGGGCAGGCAACACGGGCCCGGCTGCTGCGGCGCTGGGGCTGCGGCTGGAACAGTCCGGTGGCCGGGAGGATGACGCTGAGCACGGGGACGACAGTGTGCCTGCGTGTCCTTTCCGTGGGCTGCGCTCGCGCGGGGCCGTCGGGCGGGACCAGGGCTGCTGCGTCAGCCATGCCGGTGGGGGGCCTGTGTCCGGCTGCTTTGGGTGAAGGGCAGGGCTCGCTGCCACGCAGCAGCGGGATCCGCGAGAAGCGCGCCCGACCCACGGATTCACGCGAAATCCGCGGGAGCTGCTGAGGATTCTGAGACACCCCGGGCCGGCCTTCGGCCGACAAAACGGGAGACGCCTGCAGCCACTGGTACGCGCCCCGACGCCCCGTTGCAGCGTCGGCGTCAGTTAAATGGCTCCACCAGCCACGAAAAATGGGGACAGACACGTCCGGAGCCTTTGGCAACGTGCTTTGAGGCCTTTGATTCCAATGTCTACCACACACGCGAGGTCCGGTGCTCAGTAAATAATGATCTCCTTCAGAGTTTGTAAAGATGCTACGCCTAGCGTGCCCAGGCCCCTGAAAAGAAGCTGAGCTCCATGCGAGTCCAAGGCACGAGTGAGCAAAACAAGCGAGACAGGCTCCCTGCCCACAGAAGACGGAATCAAGTCTGCGCTGCCTGTCTGTCCCTGCCTTCCCTCCCAGCGTGGTCCCACCTTCTAAAATGCCAGCCCCTTTCTTCCTTCCTTCCTTCCTTTCTTTCTTTCTTTTCTTTTCTTTCTTTCTTTCTTTTCTTTCTTTCTTTCTTTCTTTCTTTCTTTCTTTCTTTCTTTCTTTCTTTCTTTCTTTTCTTTCTGAAGGTCAGAAATTATGGGACGACATTAAGGGTCAATGGAAAGAACAACTTTGGTAGAACAACTCCAATCCGGAAAAAAGGAAAAAAAGAAAAAAACAAAAGAAAACAAACAAACAAAAAAAACCCTGGGTATTTCTGCCAAGCCAGCGAAGAGGTTTGTCCTCCAATCTTAAAGTTACGTGATAACATAGGACACTAAAAACACTGCACTTGCTGCTTTCGAAAATACTCCAAAGACAGATGCTGTAGGTCAGGATCACACATCAATCTATGGTGCGGGTGGGGCCGCGCCTTGGGGGCTTGGCAGTGTCCTGCTGTCTCGCATATGCGCGGCTGTCAGCCGAGCGCTCCGCGCCCTAGTCCGCCTGTCCTGTGGTTTGCTGGTTCTGTCCTGTGGCTTGGTGACTCCCGCTTCCACCCCCAGGCGTTGGGAACCATGTAGGGAGGAGTGTTGATGGACTTCCAATCCCCCGGGAGGTTCGTGGTCTCTCAGCGTTAGGAGACACAACGCAGGCCTCAGGCGCACGGGACGGATGCTGCCTCTCATTCCTGGGGGCGTTGGGGGCCGTGAGGGACGCGGCCAAGCAAGACGCGAAATCATAGGATGGCAGAGAATTTCACTGGGAAATAACACCTCTAGGTCATGGTGCCCATCAAAATTCAGAAAATCATGTGAAGCTTTCCTCCAGTTAAGATGAAGCACAGAGAGCAGAGCGGCTCCCCAGGACCTGGGTCTCTCGCGCCCGCCCGCGGGCCCAGCCGCGCGCTGATGCGGAACCACTGCCCACCCACGGCGGGGAACGGGGAAGGGAGAGCGAGCAGGGAGACTGCTGCGTGTTCGGTCTTCATCGGGGCACTGGTTTGAGAGCGCATTTGTGACGTGGGACATACCACAGACGCATCCCTCGCGCGAGGGCAATGACCGCTCGGAACGGAGCGGCCTGAGCGCCAACTCACCTGGGTCGTGCCCGACGATGCCTCTGGGCCGGCGGTTTCATTGTGCGCACAGGCTTCAGGGGACCACTGCACGTGGTAACGGCTCACGCTGGGATCTGCAGGGTCAGAACGCACCCCAGGACCCGGAGTCAGAAGTCTCGTTCCACACCGTCCCGCGCTCTTCACACGGGACAGAAATAATAGCACAGAGGAAAACAAAGTTCCCCAGGGGGCCCCAAAGTGCGTACAGGGACCCAAGGAGGCACGCGGGCGTCCCAGGTCCCCAGAACTCTTTCCTTATTAAGTCTCGAGTCAGCCCAAAACATCATCCCTCGCGCCCAGAGAAATCTCTTGCACTACAAGAGCTAGGTAGCAGAAATTATTAGGGACGTCTTTGCAAAACGACTCCAACGCTGTCTTCTTGTCCTACCCTGACCCGAGGACTTGCTAATTGCTTTGGGCGGGGGCGCGGGGAGCAGGAGGGAGAGGCACGGAGTTGAGAGAGAACCTTGGGAGGGCCGCCTCGCGGCGCCGGGACAGGGAAGCCTACGCCAGGGGGGCCCGGGGCGCACCTTCGGTCCTTTTCCAGTAGGCCTTCACCTGCAGCTGGCCGTCCTGGTAGAAGGGCGCGCCGACCTCCAGCAGGCGAGCGGGGCGCCGTCCCTGCAGGGGCACCTGCGCCCGCGTCACGCCTTTGCGGCTCTTCGCGGCTGGCTCTTCTGCAACAAAGCACCCGCCTCGGGTTTACTCCCGAAGAACCGTTCTGAACCGCGACGTCAGCCCCCGGGGGACTGCACGTCGCGATGACGCGTTCCTATTCGGTGGCTTTATTTTAAAGGACAGTGTGAGACAACGGCCCGTTCTTTCACGGCCTCGCGGTAACACCCCCTGCCTGCTAAATAGGCTGCAAGACCGAAGCCTACGTTGGATGGGATGCCCAGACTTGAATCGGGTCATCGCTGGATTCCCTGGACTTAAAAGAGGCTCTCGCTGGAACAAGAGGAACGGACAGTATCGCTCGCGGGGCATTGTGTGCAGTTGCAAAGGCGGTCCACAACATGACGTGCAACGCCATCTCATGAAAACGATACGGCAAGCGCTTCACGGAGGTTCTGTCCGAAGCTACACAGCCCTCCACGGGAGGGCGGCTCGACCTGGCGACGTCCGCGGTCGAGAGCAGAAATGTCGCCCACCAAGTGCTTTCCAGAGCAGCCTCGGCGGTCGGCAGCCAATGGGTGCGCTGGCCCAAGAGCGACAGATGTCCCGACGTGGGTGGATAGGAACGCGAAATATTAAGACATAGGAGAGGATGCTCCATGTCACGAACCCTCAGAGAAGTGCAAATTACAACCACAGGGAGCACCGGCCTCACGCCGGTCAGAGTGGCCACCATCAATCCATCAAGAAACTCGGAGCGCTGGCGAGGATGCGGGGGAAGGGGGGCCCCGTGCGCTGCGGAGGGAGTGCAGGCTGCGGCAGCCACGGTGGAGAGCTGGGTGGCGCACGCCCTCGCACTCAAAGTGGAGCTGCCTTTTGACCCAGCGATTCCACGGCTGGGGCTATCTCTGAAACAACCCCAAACACCCCCTCCAAAGAATGTTTGGGCCCCTGCGTTTATGGCAGGGTTACAATAGCAAAGACTGGAAAGCAACGGAGTGCCCCTCCGCCCGCGAGTGGATAAAACACCGGGCAAACGAAACGCAACGCAACGGCAACAACGCTTTGGACCGGGGAACGAACACAGGGTCTGTTCATTGGGTCATTCGTTCACTCCGTCCATATCCAGCAGGCGCGTGCTCGGTGCCAGGCGCGGAGCTGGGCGCTGGCGACCGGGCGCTTTGGACCCGAGGGCCCCCAAGAGGGCAGAGGCGGGCGCGCAGGCAAGCCCAGCGGCGGGGTCAGGGCTTCCGTGGAGGGACCACGCCACCGCTGCGGGCAGTGGTGCAAGGGAAGGGCTGGCCCCCACCCCAGGGGCACCGCTACCTCCCCTCTGCCAATGAGCTGCAAGACCCCGCCACCGGGCTGTTTCAGTGCGAGGGCGGACGTCCGGGAAAACGAGGGGAGAACCCGAGGGCACGGTGACTATGTTCAGGTGGGCTTTCTGCTCCTGTCTGTCCAGGCGTTCCCATCTGTGACATTTTTCCCCACCACTAAGCTCCTTGGGCTGCTTGCTTCCTGCCTTCCCGGGTCCTTGAGCTCCGAACGCCCCCCCCCCCATTCCTTCCCGGGGCTGGAGGCACACTCTCCGTCCTGCAAGACGCGGGGGCGCTGTCCTCGCCGATGAGCCAAGGTGCGGGGAACGAAAGCCGCGCTCGGCAGGCCCATGATGCCCCAGTGTGAAATCACTTTTTCCCTTTTAATGCGCCCTTCCAACGACCAGCAAACAACTTTATTTTCATCTCCCTGAGACGCCCACAGCCTGGCTCAGGGACACTACATGTGCATGGCATGAAACGAACAAAGACGTCCCCAGACTGATGTCTCTGGAGCTGTCACCGAGTATTTGCCTGGGCTGCTGAGCTGTGTGCACAGTAACCCTTCACCATGGGTGCCAGCACGTTGGTCTCGGGCCCCTTTTCCTTGGCTGCACCCAAGGCAAGCAACCTGCTTTGCGGGACCACTGCGGCCGGCCTCCGGTCTGCGCCGTGAGCTCCGACAGCGCCGCGTGCCAGTGCGCACAGGCACGGACGGGCAGAGCGGGCTGGGCAAGCGTCTCCGGGAAGGCTGCAGAGGGCATGCGGGGGCTGTGCCGGCCACACAGCCTCCAGCAACGCCGCGGCTCTCAGGACAGCGCCGAAGCGGCCACACGAGAGGGGGCCGTGCGCCCGGCACGTTTTCTGGACCAAGGCGACGGGGCAGCTGGGTGCGGCCTGCAGGCCGCTGGTGGCTGGTGTCCAGGAAAGAGGAACTCGCGTGCACGCATGAAGACTCAGCAATATCAAGACGTGCGTCCAGTGTCCCCTGAGAGAAGCGGGCATGAAGCAGGGACGGCATCCCCGGGCCAGCGGGTGTCACGTGCACGTTCCTCTGTCGCCACGTTCTGCTTCCTGTCACAGAGGCAGGGGGCGGGCTACGGGCTTAGTCGTAAGAATATCACCCGGCTCCCCTGGTCTCAGACCTGCCCTTTCCCCGCTGCCTGGAGTTCAAATGGTGTGGCTAGAAATCCTGCCCCTTGAAGGAAGCCTTTTGTGTTCTGAATGCCAGCGGCCCTCGGAGAGCCGGCAGGGAGGCCGGGCGGACGGCGCCCTGACCGGCGACGGGGCTCGGAGCCTTCTCCCGCGGAGCCCAGCGAGGCCCGAGGGGGGCAAGGCCGCGACGGCCAGGGAAACGGAGGCCCCGCGGAAGCACGGCGTCCGCCGTGCGCTCTTCCCGGCGGGAACATGCCCTTCCATCGCCCACGCGGGGAGCTCGCTGAGAGCGACCGGAGGCCGGCATTAGTCGGGGTCCTAGTTAGAATATGGCCGGTTGCCCAGTTCCCGTCCGTTTGCAAAGCTGAGGAACATTCTTTAGGGTTAGGGATTCTTCGCCCACATGTGGCGCGCCCTTCAGGGGTCCTTCCCACACGGCCACGCGGCTCCCCAGTCCCCACGGGACTCCAGCAGTTCCCCGCAGCGGAGCCTGGCTCCTGCGGGGCCGGGGGGGCGGGGTCTCACAGGGGAGGGGCTCCGCCCCCAAGGCCGCCGCCCCACCCCCACACGCTTCAGACAACACTTCCAAGCCCAGGGCGCCCCGGAGACAGCTCGTGGATCACTTCCTCAGCCCCTTCCTCGGGCTCCAATAACTCGCTGGAGCAGCTCCCGGAGCTCAGAGGCACAGAATCTTTATGACAAAGGAGGCAACTCAGGAAGGGCCGAGGGGAGAGGCGCGTGGGGCCAGGGTGCGGGAAGGGGCAGCCGGGGGGCAAAGCTCCCAGCCGTTCCCCACATCCCATGCACGCCCCCGCCCCAGAGCTCTGCACGCCCGTCCTTGCGCTCTCATGGGGACTATGGGGACTTCACGGCACAGGCGAGAGCAGCCTTGGTCCTGACAGGTCCACCCGCTACCCAGCCCCTCTCGCCTCCCACACGGGGGGGCGCGGGGAGGGACTGCGTGCTCCCACCCGCGGACCTCCCAGCGCGGCCTCCCAGGCCCATCCCCGCTGCCTCCAAAAGGACGTCATTCACACAATTGGAGGCACCTTTGTCCCTGTCAGACTTAGGAAATTCAGGGAGTTTTTGGAACTTCTGGCCAGAAACCATGGCAAAGGCCCAGTACACATTTCTTATTCTGAATCACCGCATGACGAGCAACCCGTGCACACAGGCGCCGGGCCCCCCTGGAAGGAGCCTCGGGAGCGGGGTGAGGGACGGGGGCAGCAGCCACGTCCGGAGCAGAACGCTGGGCTGGACGTGGGACCCGGGGCTCCGGTCCGGACACAGCCCTCTCTCGCCACCACCGGGGACCAAAAGGGCGCTCCTGGCTGCACCCCGAGGACCATGTAGGGCACCTCTTCAAGGACAGAGTTTTCCCAAGCCCCCTCGCGCATGTGATGCTGATATTAATCTGTGATGCTGAGAACTCAGCCGCAGACAACCACCGGAAGAGTGCAGATGCTCTGTTTAATCTCCGTGTAGATTCTGCCTTCCTTTCTTTCATATCCTACGCACACTTTAATTTTTCACTAGAGATATAAGAACACAGTTCTAGACATCTCAAGACTAAACCACTTCTGCTTTTTTAAAACGAAAAGACGCCCACGCTGTGTTCCGCAGTAAACAAAAAGGAAATAAAGCCATTCCTACCATAACCTGTGAAGGTATGAGGCCTAATTTATACTCGTGAGTAGTCGGAAGAGTTCATGGAATTGAGCGACTCTATTTTATCAGGTTTTATCAGAATTTTCGTGAGGTTTACAGGCCCAGGGATGCCCCGTGTTTCCTGCCCAGTCCATTTTTCCTTGGCAGAGACAGAAGAATATTCCAGTTCCGTGGGGCAACTATAAAACACGTGGAACCTGTCAAATCTGGAAACACCCCTCTTGCCTCCCACAAAGCAAGATGCACGTCCACGAAGACGACGCTAGGCCTCTCTCCCTTCGAGGCACCATGTCATAAAATTGCCGAACGCTCAGCCTTCGCCACACGGGCATGTTTACTACAAAAGCCTCCGGGAGTGCCCAGCACACCTGCAAGGACATAATTCAGGAAGTCATTTCTAGGCTGGCATTTACTACCCTGCCTCCTATAAAGTACAATTTCCCTTGCTTACACCATTCAGTTGTAATTATTCCTCATTTCCAGTTGGTTCATGATGAAATAGAGTGTTCTCGTAAAAGTCGTAGACTTGTGTTTATGAGATTGTATATCAACACTGGGCTATAAAACTGACGAATGAGCAGCTACATCCTGTGTGCCCCTTTGCAAAGCGGGTCCCTCCTGTAGCCCGCCACCCCCTCAAGACCTGGGGAGTACGTGTTCTCAAAGGTACTTGGTACCACGCCTTCTATTTGTACTTTCCTTTTATTACTTTGCTGAATCTCTGTGAGAGGAATCGGTTAATCTTTAGAACAGAATGGACTTTGATAGCTTACGAGGATTAGAACGTGACAGAGGCACTAAGAATAAACCCGATGCAGAGAGGTCGGCTGAGGCCGCAGGCAGCAGAGGGGTCGTGAGTAACGTGGTTCCACACAGGTGCACACGAGTGCCCTGTGGCCAACGCACAGGCACACACACTGCACACCCGCGACAAGGGGGCTGCTTTGGGCACACAGCCCGACGCGCCGTGCTCTTGGAGCGACGCGAGGTCTCGTCCTGCGGATGCAGCTTCGCAGGCCGGGAAGAGGCGCCCTGGGCTCCACGCGTGGAGGCCACGCTGGGGCGGCGGAAGGATGCGGCCCTCGGCCTGCGCAGGACCGGCGAGGACGAGAGCGGGGCAGGGGTCCCTTCCCACTCACGGGGCCCTGCGTGGGGCACCGCGCGGGGGGGGGCGCAGGCTGCTCTGCGCACGTCACGGGGCGGGATGAGAGGGAAAGGGTCGCATCGTCGCTGAGAGGCTGGGAGCAGCAGCCCTCGGCGAGCTCAGGGGCGGTGTGCCCAAAGCGGACGTTTGAGAAGGAGCGGGCACCGGAGGACGAGTTCAGAGGGCATTTTAGGGTTATGAGGAGGGGGGGACACTGGCCTGAAAGGGAAGGAATGGGCAGGTCCCGCGCGGGATGTGAGCTGAGGGACAAAGGAGGAGTCTAAAGACCTGGATTTAGGGGAGAAAGGGAAGAGAAGGGTGGAGAACGGCCCTTCCGCCCTGGCTGTAGCAGGAGAGCCAACGGTGGAGCCATGTCGGGGGGCCGGGGGAGCTGCGGGAGGGACAGGAAGCGCTTGGGGCATGGCTCGGTGCACGTGCCCGTTAGCCGCCCGAGCGCACACGTCAGGCAGCGGGTGATGGCTCTGGAGTCCCAGCCCGGAGGGGCGGGACAGGCTGGCATCTGCGCCCGGGTGGGGACGGAAGCCGCGGGGCCCAGCCGGATCTCCCCGGGGCGGGCCTGCCCCTCCGCCCTCCGCCGGCCGCGTGCTGAGCTCCCTGCTCTGTGCGCTGCCGCTGCCGCGTGCGGGGAGGCCGAGGCCCTGGGCGCGCACACCGCCTTCCCCCGTGAGCTCTGGTGAAGCTCACTGCCCGCGGCACGCTGCCTTCTTCCGCGTCCACGCGTCTCTGCCGCTCTGCACGCACCCGCGGCCTGGTCTCTGTGGAACCGTGTTTACACGTCTGTCTCCCCAGTTCAACGCCAGGGGCTTTGATGGCCCAGGTCGAGATGAGTGTAGTGCCGGCACGATGGAGTGTGCACGTGTGCAGGTGCACTGGTGTGTACGTATAAGTGCACGGCACGTATATACTATACCACGCCTGTATAGTCACCCGATTACCCCACGTACATATGTTCATAGCATGGCATTGTAAGTACCCCTTCGGTAGGCACAGCAATGTCGTCATCGCTAGGCACGCGTTTCAGGGGCATGACCGACGGAATGCCCGGATTTTTTAAAAAATCAACCACATGACTCAACACCTAGAACATTTCCATGACTTTCTTTTCCGTAACAGTTGTACGGCACCCAGGAAAAGGAGAATCTACACGGCATAATGTTATAGACGGTCAATACTATCTACAGAGAACAGCAGGCCCTTCAAACCCTAAAATCCCCACAAGGGCTACTTCTCAAACCAATAGGAAGCTCTGTTTCCAGGATTTCTTAGAAAGCCTCCTTCGCATCCGTTTTTTCCCAGGTCACGGAGGTTATTCCGAACCGTCCCTTGGGACGTCGGTGTCAATCCAAGAAGACGCGTGTGTCCTAACTTTAGGGGGGAAGGGACAGTGCTCCCCGAGAAAGCAGCGTCGCTGTGCCTGGGGACCCACAGTGACGTCTGTCTGCGCACCAGTGAGAGGGACACGTGAAGCGCTCTCCTGTGAGGCGTCCACTGCGACATGCAACCACCGCACAGGAAACAGATAAACATCATGAGAAAAATTCACAGGCGCGCGGTTCGGAGGACGCTGTTCTGCGCGCAGGGGTGCGAGGGCTGGGCGCGTGAGGACCGCGTGTAACACAGCGGCCACCCGCACGGAGGCGGGGTCGGAGGGAGCGGGGACCGGGGACCGGGGGCGCGGGGGTGGGGCGTGGGGGCGAGGCAGGGCACTCACTGCTGCTGGCGGCGTGCGCGGGGGTGAAGCGCAGGGCGACCTTGGCGCTCTTGAGGCGCGTCTGGCCCCAGTAGGCGACGGCCTGCAGCTCCGCCGTGTACTCCCAGTGCGGGTGCAGTCTGTCCAGGGCCACCGAGCTCTGCGCCTGCAAACGGGGACACACACCCCGCCCGTCACAGCCACGTCCAGGCCGCTGCGCCCCCCCCCCCGCCCAGCGGTGGGTTCCCTCCGCTCCCACGGGTCTTCGCGCAGAAGATCTGAAAACCCAGGGTAGCTCGGGCTCAAAGTCAGCCTCACAGAAAGGCCAGGACGCGGTTTGTGGAGATTGGGTTCCCCACCCTCTGGCATCGCCTGGCGAGGAACAAGTGTGCCTCGCCCCTTCCCGATCTCCGGAGCGGCCTGAAAGGAACTCACAGGGGCTGGGGCGGGCTCCCGCCTGGGAAACGCATACACGGGATTCCCTGTGTGGCTTGGATACTTCCTTCGCATCCTCTACGAGTACCCGTCCACCAAGCGTTGAAGGGAAAAATCAACCTGACAAAATGCGTTCATGTTCTCCTGCCATTATATCTGTTCACGTCCGCACCCACCCAGTTGTCTTTGCGTTTTAAGCGAGGGCACTCCCACGAACAGCCCCTGAGCCCAATTGCTTTCCAGCGAGGTCTCTGCTTCGATGGCATATCAGCCTCCCTAAACAGCGATCTTCAAGCAACTAAAATGAAACCGCCTTTTGAAAGAGCATTTCCTTGAAAAGCTCTCCTCACAGTTACCAAGGACCTCGGATGGTGTCTTAGGAAATGAGAGGCCATTGATCTCCAGGAAGAAAGTGCCATAACTTCTCAAACTCCTTGGTATTTTTCCAATTTCGAACCTTCATTCTCAGTTAATGAAATGTTCACGGGAAGAACGCTCGTGGTTCCCATGACCTGCCGCCTGCCTCTCGTGGATCCCAAATACGCCATTCGTGAGCGTGATCTAGGGTTAATGCTACTCTGCACCCATGAACAATTCAAGGTAAATTTGCTGCTCACGTCTTATCGCATTGGTACATCGGAGGAATAAACGGCAAACTTCCCTCCTAGTTTCTTGACGTCGCTCGGTTATTAATGCGCACGACGTCTGGCAGTATTTCATCATGTATCTCGCTTTAAGTTGCTTTGACTGTAGCCCTGGCCAGGCAGCTCAGTTGGTTAGAGCGTTGTCCGGATAACACCAAGGTTGCAGGCTCGATCCCTGGTCAGCAGGGCACATCCAAGAATCAACCAATAAATGTACAGGAAACTGGAACGACAAATCAATGTCTCTCTCTTTCTCTCTCTCCTATCAACCCATCGATTCCGGTGACTGCAGGGACCCCTTTCTAGGAGATGAGTGTGAATTACGAATCATCACGTGCGTCCAAGTCCACCAAAGATGCAACTGTCAGTAAGTTTCTTAAAAATAAAACCCACACAGGATCAGAGCTAAATATCAGTGATAACTTTAGGAGACATATACTGAATGGAATTTTCAGTTCCAAAAAAAATTTGTTTTGCTATCCTTAATGAAGGCCTTTCACATACGTATTTACTTATGAAATTGAACTTGATACATTCAGGGGAAAGGTGGTTAGATCAGTCCTAGAACAACGTGACAAAAGCATGTACATCGAGAGGAAGCCCAATCACTGCTCCGTACGCGCCAAGCATTTCGAACGATAGCACACGTTCGTTCGCTACCCTGGCGTCTCCCTGCAGGAAATGGGGCCGCGCGGATTTTATTTCTCGGCAGCTGGAGAAGGCAGCCTTCCCAGCTCTTTCCATCGGCGAGACCAACGTGTTGTCAGGCATGCATTTCCTACGCTCCTTCCTGTCCCGCGGGCCACAGTGCGCACGGAAACCCGCTGCCACCGAAGCACCAGGGACGTCCGCTCTGGACTTCCAGGAGCCTCCCAGAAACAGAGTAAAGAGACGTACGTGGGAAGAACATTTTGGGTTGTATCCCTGTCTATGACCAGATAGGGGAGATGAAGATAAGGTTTGTTCCTTTTATTTCTGCAGTTGTGACTGCCTCTGGGATGTGAGTAGGTCAAGGGACTAAATTCAGTGCTTTTCAAAGCCCAAACAGTCGGCCTGGGGCTCCGGTCTCGGGCCTTCCAGGGTTCAGGCAAAAGGGTCGGGGCCCGGCCTTCCACCTGCTCCCTGGCTTCGCTCAGCAGATGCCGCTGTTCAGACCCTCTGCCCGGAGGTCAAACACTCGCCCCCCCGCCCCCTGCGAGAAGGCACCGCCCTTCCTCCCAGCTCCCACTCACCCCGTCTGTGGTCTTCCTCCGCTTCTTTTTCGTTGGGACGAGGGACTTGCTGCTCGCAGTCCAGCTCCAGAACACTTTGTAGTGATGCACTGGGATGTCTGGTTCCTCGGGGGCGTCCCACACCAGGGTGACGGTCACCGTCCCGTCGCTGTGGGGGGTGGTGGTGGCGAGCCGCAGGTTCGCCGGAGCTGGAGGGGCGGATGGGTCTGCAGTCCCGGGAGGAAGACAAACGTGTGAGGGCCAAGGACAAGGGAAAGCGCACCCCTTTGCGCGTGTGCTGACCCCAGCGCGCACGCGTGATCCCTTTCTGGATCCGAAAGCTGCAGACAAGCAGGAAGCAAGACCCCCATTGTAGGCCTCCGACTCATACGGAGAAGACCCCTTCGAGGCATCTGCACACCACTACAACCCTGCCAAGGTAGCCTGGTACCGAAACTGACACATTTCTGTACAACGCAGCAAAATCTGATTTCAGTCGGTTGGCACTCAACAGGCGAGCCGAGTAGACTTGCCTTTGCAAGTTCTGAAAAGGAAATGAAACCCAGGCTGGGTCAGGAAGTGTTTCATCTTAGAAAAGGAAATGAAACCCAGGCTGGGTCAGGAAGTGTTTCATCTTAGTGGGTACGAGCAGCGGAGACCCGCAGAAACGGGCCCCGTTTTATCCACATTACAAAGGGGGTGACATGTGGGTCACATCCATGTTCGTAACCTCGCCGTTTCTGGCTGGCTGCACAAACCAAAGCCTTCTCGGCTATCGCGAGAGAGAGAGAGAAGGTTCTGCAATGATCACACTGCCAATCTCCTGGTAAATACAGGTACCACGATGACCGAATATGAGTAAAGCGAGAGGGGCTTTGCTTCCTTTCCGGCCGCACACGGAGCAGGTGGAGCTGCCACGCCCCGCATGGCGCTTAGGGACGGTCACGTGGCCCCAGGACAGCGCCGTCCCACGCTGCGACGGCCATGCCCCCCGCAGCAGAGGGGCAGCCAAGCCGCCGCTCCCTCAGCACAAGTGAAAGAGATGGAAGGGACAAGGCCCACGACGTTACTCTCAGGATCACCTGTGTTCTGCGCATGGTGGAAACGTGAATTCTTTTCAAAAATCTCTTGCTTTTCTCTAAGACACAACAAGGTCTGTCCAGGAAAGGTCCAGCCATTGGTAACATCACGAGACCAGTTTGCGCGACATCCATGTCACCCGGCAGCCAAGGAGAGGGGACTGGAACGCGCACGCGTGAACCATGACGACGTCACTGTGCTAGTCAGAGGGGGCAGGAGACGCCGTTGAGTGAGCATGTGCCCTGTGTGGCCGTCGCGTTCACAACGAGCAAGGGAAGCAACGCACTGACATCCAATTTTGTGTTAAGCTTAAGCATTCCTCCACGGAAACTGTTCAGATGCCTCAGGAGGCCACCGCTCGGGGCCGCGGGTGGCGGGCAGCTTCACCGCGACCGCGTGCCCTCTCTTGGGTCACGTCTCGGGCCGAGTTTTTGGCTGAAACCCCAAATCACTAAAGTGACTCTGCCCCTCAACAGCCCAGACGTGGCGCCCCGTGTCTCCGGGCTTTTCCCAAACATGAAATCGCCTCTCAAAGGGAAGCGATTTCAGACCGTGGATGAGATTCAGGAAAATATGACAGGACAGCGGACGGCTCCTCGGAGACCTGTGTGAGGTCCCAAGGTGCCTGCTTGGAAGGGGACTGAGGCGTCCTTGCGCTGTGTACCATGCTTTCTGTATCTTGTATCGTCTCAAGGAAACGCCTCTATTTTTCACAGTACGTGGGTGGACCCCTTCTGGGCAGACCTTGTAGAATAAAATTAAGGTGAGAAAGAATTGCGATATTTGAGGCGAAAACACGTCGCTTTCTGCCAATGCTCAAGATACTTCCATCTAAATATAGAAGACACATAGGAAGGGATCTGGGCTCCCTGTCCCTTTCCCTTTCTCTCCCTCGCCCAATTTTTCTCACTGCTTCGAGAGGGAGAGGGAGAGAAACATCCATGCGAGAGAGAAGCACCCCCGGGCCGCCTTCCGTACGCTCCCGGGCCAGACCAGGGGTCGTTCACGCCCGGGCTGGGGAGCGTGCACCCCTGCCCCCAGACCGGGGGTCGGACCCCCCGCCTCCCGCCTACAGGACGATGCTCCCACCCGCGGAGCCGCACCAGCCAGCGCTAGCGCCGGTCCCTTTCCCTTTTCGGTTTTAATTGCATCTTTATTGGATTCTGTCACTACCATGGCGTCCCCGTATGCCCCCTCCCGCTGCAACCGCCACACGGTTGTCCCCGTCCACGTCCTTGTGAACGCAACCAGTTCCGCACCGTGCATTCCGGCGCCGCCGGTGGCCTGTGCCGCGTGTGACGGGACGGGGGCAGGAGGCCTCAGGATGGTCGGCGGAAGAACACCGCTCCCAGGACGGCCATTCACCATGTAAAAGATTGCCCCTTCCCTTTGCGCATAATGGAGCAGGAAGTAGGAAGGGGCATTTATACATGAGGCTATTACATGACTTGCAAGTTCCATTTTTTAGTGCTGAAGCCAATTTCCCTTCTCAAGCAGAGGGTCAAAGACAATATAGAGAATGTCAATAAGTGAATGTAGAAATGATCGCAACCTCTGGTCTTTTCACTGCCAGCAAAAACGACTGATTTTACCCATTCTATAATCATGCTTTTCTGTCCCCCCTGGGGGGAGGTAAAGGTTAGCAGTAAAAACATATCCAAAAATGGCATTCATCGCAAAAAGAAAAAGCATGAAACGGAGTTACCAATTTATGAACAACTCACAAGTTTCTATAAAAAAATAAGTATTCTTAAGGGTGAGGATTAAGTTTGGAAAAAATAAAGGCGTTAAAAGGAAATTAACTTACTTAGTAGCCAATCCATTCTGGCAAACCACAGACTAATTTTGTATTTAAACAGGACCATAAAGAAGAGAATTACAAGAATTTAGGTTTTTCCATGAAAATCAAGATGCTAGCCCATGAATACCAGGCAGCAAGCCTAAACTTAATGAAACCCATTTCATCAAGTGCTTTTGCTTTTTCTCCTTAATTTTACGTTTATTTTCAGAGGTGTTCATGGTGGATGGAAAAACTCCCTTCCCCTTTCTCGACTCAGTCTTTGATGGTTGAGGCCGGTCCCCTACCCGACTGAAATATACAGATCGTTGCATAGCCTCTGGGCAGAGAGTTATTTTGGAAGCGGTAATTCTTTCTGAAAGCAGCTTTAAACCACTAGGAGACTTACAACCACTACCGTTTCACCTCTGGCGCACAACAGGAATAAATGGGTTTTTATTAGATAAAAACGCTCCATTTTTGGAAACACTGCCGTGACCATTAAAAGGTTAGGAGACAGTCTGTCTATCTCCCGCTTTCAGAGAAACACCCACGATCCGTCACCCCAGGCCTGTCTTTGTGAGGGACGCTCGATTCTACCATTGACAGGGCAGAGAGGATGGGAACAGAGCCGGTAAGCATTTCCTCCAGACGTGTCTAAAGGAGGCGTGGTCACCATTCACAAGACGGTACCACGTTCTGATCGGGTTGAGGTTCAAAGCGATGCGTGATAACAGGAGGCGCGAAGACACACAAAACCAACTTTGTTTGTACCTCCACGTTTTCCAGTCGGGCAGGAAGCATCTCACTGCAGTGACGGAACCCACGTCCAACCGCACGATGGGCGTGGGCACCCGCCCCGGTCAATGCGAAGGATCGCTGCGTGGCTCCCGTACCATGAGCGGGTGTCATGGTACGTACAAGATATTGCAGTAACAGCGTTTATTTTTTCTCCCCAGTGAGGCTCTTTTCTACAACTGAGGAGACTTGAGTACAATTAGGAAAGATGTGGTACCTACCCCCTGCAAATGGTTAAGTGCCCTTTGGACACGTCCCGAGACACATCTTCATGGAAAACAGAGGAGAATCTGCTGTCAGTTCTGTGCAGACATTTTTTAAAAATTGTTATGCATTGATTTGAGAGAGAGAGAGAGCAACAGAGAGCAAGGGGGGAAGAGAGAGAAATATTGATTTGTTTTTGTAGTTGTTGATGCGTCCCTGGTTAATAATTCTTGAATGTGCACCGACGAGGGTTCGAAACCCTCAACCTTGGTGTATTGGGACGGCGCTCTTACCCACTGGGCTACCCAGCCACGGGTGGGCAGCCATTGTTGGTGTGCAAGAATGAAAGTCTGGGAGGTTCCCTGTCGGACAGACTTGTGAGAGCAGAACACGTAACATTTTAGCAGTGACTTCTGTGTCAGTGACTGTGATGTGTCGGAAAACAGCGTGTTTTCACTCCACCTGCAAAGCCCATGTAAGGTCGCAGGCGGCGGCTCTCATTCTAGCAGGTGCTCAGATACAACGGGAAGGACCGCGCCAGCCCGGCCTGGCCGCTTCCCCGGAACGGAGGCCTTGGAGGTGGGGAGCCGCCGCCAGATGAGCCCTGGGCACGGTCCACGGGCCTCTGCCCGATCGGCCCCAACTCTCAGGGGCAGCCCGGGTCTGCCTCCAGAGGCCACACACCGCGGTCACCGGACGCCTGACCGTGCCGCCTTGATCCGAGGGCGCAGGCCACGTCCTGCGGGCAGAGCAGACGGTCCCCATGCCGACCTCAACGTGCCTGGGTCGCGTCGGAAGCCTGAAACTCAAGGCGACGCGCTCTCCAGCCTCACGGATCCTAGCCCCGAACCCGCCGTTAATGATTTATTTCACGTGCCTCTCCACACCGCCACACCAGCTGGGGATATCGTCCTAACGCCAGGCTGGCTGTGCTTATTTGTAACTGCACCTTTAAGCGCGTTCCGTGTACTTGTCTGGGTGTGGGAAGGCGCATGTCCCTTTCCAAAAGGACTTTTTAACAAAACACTTAAAAAGGCTCTGCCTCCTCTGTAGTAGAACCGCAGTATTACATTACTCTGTTGCAGTCTTCCCCCTGAGACGTGCGGCTATGCCGAGAAAGGCGTGGTGCTATCAAGCACTGAGAGATGGACAGCAGAGCTGAAACGTACATGTTTTTCCAGTCACAGTATTAAAGTGGCAACTGCAAACCTACGTTGAAACCTCCCCTAAACGAAAGCATGGGACTGATGTTGTGTCTCACTGCATTCATTCGTATGACGATGCATTTTGGTTCAACGAAGCCCACGCTGGCGCCGCAGTGAGAGGCTCGCTCCCAGTGAGTAAGTGATAAACCGCATTAAGCTACGTCTCTGAAACCCGGTCTTTGTGGTTAGCTGAGCAGGGGGACAACTCATCCATGGGGCTCACGGTCATCTGACATGGGGTTGGGGGGACATACACCTGGAGGTCCTGTTACTACCGTGCCCAACATGCTCAAGCATCACAGGCTCACGGAACGGGTATTTATCAGATTCCACAGAGCTTTTAAAACAGCAATGCAGTGGGAACTGAATAAAATGATAGCAATGCCATGACTCCACAGGGGTTTCAGTTCTGGGTGCAATGAAACAAAAGCCATCACCTCACCCTCAGTGTAACCATCGTTCCAAGAAAAGCTGCCTAGTCTCCCGTAGCCCAAACTAAACCTTGGTCTCCAAAAATGACTGGCACGGTGCCTGAGGCAGCCTATTCTGAGGCAAAGGCTCGGCCGAAGCTACGAAGGGAAAACCGCCGCGCTAAAGCTGAGAAAACCCCCTTCTATTATCTGCTGCGACGTCCTTGATCCTAAATTCCCCTGGTGTCTTCCAACGCATCGGGCCCCACTCGCTAGGAACAGCAAAGCTGCCTGCTGGCCAACCCAACTGTGGACAGGGGCACCCACGGAGCTATCGCTGCGTGCTGGGGCTACCGCCGCGTGCAGGGGGGGCTGGGGCGGGGCGGGCCCGCGGGACTGACCTCGGGAGGAGCGGAAGTGTTTGCTGGGCGCCGTGAAGCCCCGGGTCCCGTGCACGTTGACCGCTGCCACTCGGAACTGGTACCACCTGCTGGGCCGGATGTCGGTCAGCTGCACCCGCTCGTCCGTGGTCTGCGGGAAGGACACACAGCGCAGAGAAAGGACCCTTGCATTCCGACACTTCCGTGGGCTCTGCTTTAAAAGTGCGCCCACTCGGCGGCCCAGGAAGCTCGGCCTTGACTGTCCCGCCCTTCCGGATCGGCAGCCCAGTGCTCCGTTTTGAGGGGAGCCCTCAGCGACAAGAGAGCCTGTGGGGACCCCTTCGGCCGCCCGGTTCTGCTCGTGGATATTTCACCCCGAGGGTGGGAGGCTTATAGACGTCTGCAAGTCAACACCTTCGGACAAAAGCTGGGGCTACTTTTAAATCTGGAGACTAAATGCAGCATTTGAGGGACTGAATCAGTAAATTCTTCACGGGAGCGAGCTGATCATGACGTTACAGACAAGAAAAGTAAGTCATCTTCAGACTCCATGAAGAAAGGGCTCCTGTTAATTGAGTGGCTCATATAGCACTCGGGACGTAGGTATAAGAATGCATACACTTAGCAATGCCAGCACTTTCTGGAACAATATTGCAACCCAAGAATTTTTTGTTTTTAATTTGAGTACGTCACGTACGAAAGGCAAGGTGTGTTGATATATATTCAACCAATAAACAGTCCAAAGACAGAAAGTGGGCTCTGGGGATGGCCCACGGGTCTTGTTCTCTCTGCCACCACCGTCCCCAACCTACGAAGCGATGGCGGCAGCCTCCCCACGTCCCGTCTTCATCAAGCTAAGGGGACTGCTTGCTGCCTGCTTTCGGCGTGTTCCAGAGGAGACCTGAAAACGCTGGCCGTGAATCACAGGAGGAAACGCCTGACCGAGGCCTCGTGCCGCACTCGACGCGAGCTCGCTGGGTGAAAGTGAGGACGTGGAACTGAGTGACACCCTCCCTCAGTTTATGGTGACGTCCCGAAAAGGGTCGTCACATTGGCTTTCCTATCTAAATGAAGCTAAACATTCCCCAGATCAAAGAAAGACTGTGAACCCTTAAACGTGGCTCTCCGCCTCATTTGGCAGGATTTGAGACAACACTGTCGCCGACTTCGTCGTGGAGAGCTTTAGCTTGAATGTACAAACGAACGTCAGCGTGAGATCCACAGCACTTAGCGGACAGAGAAAGGAAGCGTTACATGTGGTAACGATCAAAAAAATGGAAATAATAATTCAAGATTTTTTTTCCTCCCTCTAAAAATACAAGGGATGAAAGAGAGATTATCATTTATGTTCACAAGTGTTAAAGTAATTTAGAAATGTAGAAACGATGCTGTACCGCTGCTTAAGGAACTGTACCATGAAAATCAAATACAACTTTAGGCTGAATTCTGAGCATCTCTATGTTTTAATAAAGCAATTCTTTTTCTTTTACAAAACAGGTAGAGAATTATTCAATTTTTTTCACCAGGGTTTGTTCCCCCCCCCCAACTTAATACGTTTCTTTTACATCCAACTGCTCATTTATTTTGGGGGGTCTTTAAATTATTTTAGTGTTTATCCTTTTTGGGGATAGTACTATTCACAAAAGAACCAAATTTCTCTCCCAAATAGCTGAACTCTAACATTTATGTTCTATTTCCCGAAACACAAGCTTGGGAATGTAATCCTTGCAGGAAAAGGATGTGAGAATTTTCCCTGGTACCGGCCCATGTGGAGAAAGCGTTTGTGTTATTGAAAAGCATTAAGCAGCTTCATATGGGGAATTTATTCTTTTCCTATCTCCTGCAGTTCCTTGCAGCTGGTAGTCCACTTAACAGCTCTTAAAAAGAAAGAAAATATTTTGCTTTTCTCCCCACCAAACAGAGAGGAAGCAGCGTTGCTAGGTAAACGCGGGGCGGGCGCGGCCGCCGCCGGCGGATCGGGTGGCCCGTTGACCACGCGGGACCCCAGAGGAGGCGCCCGCCGCGGGCGCGAGCTGTCGGCTCCTCCCACTACCTCGTTTGCGACACGAATCTTCCCCAGGGCCACTAACACCCTTGTGTGGAATAAAGGCTTAACTCAGGAGAAAGAGAGGAAGTCCTGCCTTGATCCAATATCATGTGAACGGGTCCTACCTGGGTTGCCTTTCCTTATCTCCAGCTCTTGGCTGACGTAAGTGCCAACGCTCGGATTAGAAAAGTACCTCCTTGGGGGAGAACAAGCTAACAGGCCAGTCTCCAGCCCTGTCGGGTCCTGCCGAGGGAGGTCCTGCCGCCTCCGCAGACGCATGGACAGGACAGGCCCGCGCCGACATGATCTCAGGCCGTTCCGGCCGACGTGCGGCCAGCTCCCGTCGCGCCTGCGGGCCCGAGCTGCGGGCCCGCGGGGCTGAGGCACTCACCTGAGCCACCGTCTGCCAGGGCGTGGCGTCGTCCTCGCTGGGGTGGATCCCATAGTTCCACCTCCTCTGCACCACGTAGATCGCGGGCTCAATGGAGACGTTGAACTTCGAGGACCACTTGATCTCCAGCTGCCCAGTCTGCAGCTCCGTGAAGCGCAGCTCCTTCCTGGGCCTCAGGGGCACACCTGCAAGAGCAGCACGCGCGTGCCAGGCCGTGCGCACGGCGGGAGGGGCAACGACCGGCAGGGCTCACCGGATGACCGGGACGCTCACTGCGCCTCGTCTCGTGGCCCCTCCAGGCCCAGCCTCCCCTCTGGAAAGCTGCTGACGCGGAGGTCAGAGCGTCACATTCCGAGAGAGCCTCAGCCCCTTTTAGTTTAGCTTTCTCATTATTTTAAAAGGGTCTAAAGTGATTCCCCATTCACACCCTGGCTGGGTAGCTCTGTGGATTAGAGCGTTGTCCCAATACACCAAGGTGGCAGGTTCGATCCCCAGTCAGGGCACATGCAAGAAGCAGCCAAAGAAGGTATAAATAAGTAGAATAACAAATCAATGTGGTTTTTTTTTTCCTCTCTCTGAAAAATCAGTAAGTTAATAAAAAATGGAAGTGGATTCCTGATTCGGAACAAGTTATTTTCCCGCAGTGATTTCAAAGGCCATTTTTTTATGTGCGTTTGTTACCAGGCTGCGCGGCTTGAGGTCAGCATGGACTTGCCGCGGGGCAGCGTCCCTGAAGACTCTGACGCCGTTCTTCCCATCTAGCGCGCTCCGTTTTGTGAACCATCCTAGGGCATTACAGCACGGTTCCCACGTTGCTCCTCGTGGTTTCTCCAGGTGTTTTCCTCTTCAGGAAAACATCATAAAGCGCAACCCTCTCCTGTGGGGAAACGTTACAACACTGCCTTCCAAAGCGTGAGTCTCGGGGACGCCCCGAAGGCGACCAGAGCTCTCTCCTGTCGTCTTCGGGTTTAAAACCGGAAACGACGAACGGGTCCGGTTTGCCTCTGGCAGCGGCGTGTGCGCCCTTTGCCAAGCCCCTCGCAGCGGCCCGGTGGACAAGTCATCGGGCATTGTTCTTTCCCTCCGGTGGGGAAGGCAAGTTGTCCGGGGAATAACAGATTGAAGCGTCGCGGTTCAAAATAGCAGCCGCCGGGGAGAGGGAGGCTCCCCCACATGTACAGCACTCCTAGGGAACGCAAAGCTGGCCGAATCACGGGGAACCCGTTCGGTGGACCCAAACCCGAGAACACAGTTGCCTTTCACGCCGTTGTCTGGGGAGAAGGAGCACTGGCCGGAGCGCTGACCGGGCCTTTCGAAAGTCCGTTCAAACTCTCTCATGCCGCAGTGAAGTGCAGACACGTGCAAATGCGAACCGGGAAGACGCTGTCCTGCCCACCGGTTACGCAGCTGCGTTGGGACTCCCTGCCGTGGGACGCGCATGTGGGCCAAGCCTGGTCTGGGGAAGTTGGAAGCCAGGAAGCACGCCGCTGGATGGGGTAGGGTCGCTTTTACAGGGCATCTCTGTGACCGCGGCACAGGCCCCGATTTTTAGGAACGATTTTCCAGGGAACGCGTGTGCTGTCCCTCAGCATTGTCCGCTGTGACGCGCCGGTGGGGGTGCCCACGTAGGGCCCTCCCTTTACCGGGACCTACCTCCCCTGAGTCTTCGTGGGCCACAGTTTGAACACGAGCGTCTGAGGAAGAGCCCGTAAGGCACCTGGAGGTGTGGGCTGACATCAAGTTCCTCTCGGAACTCGCTGCTGCTTGCCACATTTTGAATTAGAAAAGGCCACTTGGAACGGGAGAGAAAACAGGCGGTTTTCCCTTGGCCTTCCTGACCCGAACGTCCCAGAGGTCCCTGGCTGGCCGGGCGGGGCACTCGCGGTCCGCCCTGGCGCCAGCTGCCCCACCGCATAAAGGCCCTTCCCGTCGGTGTTGGACACCGGCCTCTCCCGCAGTGGCCGAGCGGACATCAGGGAGTCCGCTGACCTTCGAGCCCGGAACATCTCTGCGGAGCAACGACGCGCAGACGGGCCCCCGGCCTCCTCCGGGCTGCGCCCTGCCCCACCACCCACCCGCCCAGGTCTCCCCCAAGAGCCTGTCCCCAAACACGCCGTCCTCTGTGACACTGGTCTTTGCGACAGCGCGATGCTGTGGGATATCTAAGAGGCCATGGGGCCTCGGCGACTTGCTCTTGCTTCCCCCGACACTTCGCCGTGTTCCTGCAGAGCAGGCTCCGGGTCCCCCATCATTCTGCCCCTGCGGCGACTGCCCCCCGGCGCCCTTCTCTCTGCTGCCCGGACCTTCCCCAGAGCCTCCCGCCTCATGTCCCTGCACATCAAGCTGTTCTTTCTACTCCCTCTTCACAGTATGGGGGTTCTTGCCGACAGTACGGAGCATCTCCCCTTCGCCAACTCTTCAGTTGCACCCCGTTTTCTGTGGCACGAAGATGAGCCTCTCTCTGTCTCCTTGATGGCGTCCACCTCTGCGACGCAAGGCCCTTACGTTCCAGTGGCCTCCACACGCACAGCACGCGTGCGTCACGCCTCCCGCCTCAAAGCCCAGCGTGCCCACACCCACGCGGCCTCCCGGCGCCGTGGCCTCCTCACGACCTTCCCCTGCCCCCGCCAAAATGCCTTTCCTTCTGTGTCCTGACTGCAGAGCTGTGAACACCCCAGCCCGTCCGCACGTCCCGCTGAGCCGCAGTCCCGACACCTCCCAGTGCACATGAAGGCTCTGTGCTCGCGCCCCGTCTGCAACGCGCAGCCTGTAACCGTCAGGACGCGCATTGGCGGCCTCTCGCAGCAGCGGCCCGTGGAACGGTGAGGCTGTCCCCCGCCACGGACCACGGCTCCCTCCTTCCCGAACCCCCTTCCGTCCCAGGAGCAAGGTTCTGCAGGAGCAAATGCTCGGTGGCCCTCGGGGGAAGGGATCGACGGAGCCCCTCCCTCACGGCCCGGGCAGGAATGAATGCCCCTGGGAAACAGGCGGGCGCGGGGGCCCACGCAGATCTCCACAGCAACAGCGAGCGCCTCTCTGTTCCAGAGGCACGTGGGGACGGGGACGGGGCTACCGCAGCATTTCTGCCCTGCGCTGCCAATCCTGTATTCTTTCTTCCAGGGGAAAAAAACACAGCTCTGTTTTCCGTCCATGCCCTGTAGCTCAAGCATTCCTTTACTCTCGCTTTTTAAAGCGGTAGATGCCCAATGGTGGATGATCAATATTGGTAAGTGCATAAGACAGAATCATTTTCTGGATCGACAGTAGAGCTGCCCCAGCTGAAAAAAAATCTGCGTGTGAGAATTCCTGGTATGATAACAATCCCTGAGGTAAGGGATGGCCGGTCTGAATCCAGAAGTCACTCTCCCTTCCTTTCAGGTAAAAAACCAACCAACCAACCAAATTTGTCCACGGTGATGCAACGCCAGGCTGGACAAAACGCGTGTTCTGCGTTGTCCCTGCATGCTGGCTGGGCAGGCGGGCACTCGAGTGTCTGCAGGGAGCGGGTGTGCAGGCCGGGGAAGCGCAGGCGGCCTCCGCCCAGAGCCGGGGCCTCCTGCTTCCACGGGGCGCAGTCAAGCGTGGCTGCCTCCCTCTGTCACCTCAGCCAGCACGCTCCCCGCACCGGCCTGCCCGTCCGGCTCCTCGGCCGCCCCGTGAGCAGCCTCCCGCGTGAGGCTAGCCCGGCCCTCGCCGTGGCTGCCGAGGGCGCCCAGGCGAGCGGGGGGCAGGGAGGGGGGGCAGGAGCGAACCCACACGTCCCAGCCCGCGTGCTCCCGGGCTCTCATCTCGCATCTCATTCCACCCCCAAGAGCCTTCATCGACTGTAACAGGCATCGGGGCGATGTCAGTTCAAATTTCTTCATCTGAAAATCTCTTTAATTATGACGTGCAACAATCTCGTGATTCGCATGTGGAGAAACGGTCCATCTGCTTTGCGTTAGGGCTGGCTGGCTCCCTTGATTGCAAGGAACTCCAGCACTGGGCTGGGGTCACGTGCGGCTGGGGCCCAGCCCCCCAGGCGCCCCAGGCGCCCCCGGCCCCCCAGGCCCCGTGGCCGGGCTCCCTGCAGTGTCTGCTGCTTCCTCCGGCGTCCGGATGCCATGGCCAGATGTGCAGGGCGGAGCGCCCCTCCGCTGCCAGCTATGATGCCGCTGACCCGAACGGCTCCTCTCTATGACTTTCCAACAAACGAGTCCTCCGAAATCGAAACTCTCCTGTTCAAAAATTCAAAACTGCTATTGTGTAACATCCCAGAATACGGGAGGGCTCAGAGGCAGTTTTGTCCTTGAGAGGGCGGCATGTCTGGTGCTGAACTCGAAGGAACAGGAACCTAATGCTTTAAAAAATGTTGAAAATATCCTGGTAGGAATGCGGGCACAACAGGCAACCAGCAGTTGCCAAGCTCCGTGAGACTCGATTATTTGTGTGAAAATATCGCTCTTATGACTCTAAATGTTATGAAAATGGAGCACGATAGAGCGTCCCAATGGCTCAACAATTAATGACTACCTAGTACACATACGCGGTACTCAAGAAATTGGGGTTTGCCTCACACAAAGGCACAGTGTGCGATTGCATGCAAAAAGTTAAACGTTGATTTGTGAAACGTAGTCTGATTCCATCTTCAAAGGCCTGACGTTTGACTATTTCAAAGACTGAGATATCCTGGGAACATGCCATCAACTGCATCGTGAGACCTTTTTGGAAAGAAACACATTAACGTGTGACTCATCCTTGGTGCGCAAAGGAAAAATGGAGGTAACAGGCAGCCGCACGTTCATGTAATTCTCCATGTTTGGGAAACTGTTTCAACTTTATTTCTTCCCTCCCCAAACCCAGTGCCACAGCGGGGTCTCCAGAGAGGCTGCAGTTTGGGCAATAAAATAATAAAAACGTGTCGTTTTCTAGAGGCAGAAGGGCCTAAGCTATCAATCAGAATGAAAATGGGACAGTAAGTCACCCAATGTGCAGTCATCTTTGTCTTCCCTGTGGAAGACCAGGCTTTAAACTCTGCCGCACACAATCCTACGGTTTGCCTTCCCCATGCCAACATCCTCGCGTCTTCCAAGACGCTGCAAATACTTTTCTGTGTCTGAGCAGTAAAGACAAAGCTCTCAGCGGGTTCCCTTTGCTTCAGGCTGTCACAGTGGCCTATAAAGCCAGCGCCTATAAAGGCTTCCGCGAAAGGCGATTCTTCCTGCAGAAACCAAATGAAATGCTCAGACATAATGGAGCATTTTGTTGACCATCTTTTGAAAACACGTGCAATTTTTTAAAACTCTCATTTCCCACGTGTAGAAAGCTGTTGCGGTGATAAAGTCCCCAGGCCCCCATCCTTCCTCTGGCAGACACAGGGGACCGGGCAGAAAGCTCGCACGTGTTTCTCTCTAGTGCTATTCCAGTTAACACAACGAGCCGTAAGAGGAAAAATAGGGCAGGAGTTGGGGCACATTCATCTATGCCCTGCACGAGGTGAAAGCATTTCTGTCCACTTAAGTGAGCGTCGTGCACTGGATGGGGGGCGATGTCCCGTGGACTGTGCACCCCAATTTACTCATCTAAAACCAGTCATTTGTCAGTGAGCTTGGTAGATGAGAGTAGGTGGTGCCAGTATCTGTTGGAATTGACCTGGACTCTCAATCCAACGACGCCAAGAGTTGGATGGATGCAAAATAAAAACGACGGGAGAGCTGGCTGGGCCCGGGGTTGAATGGGCCCCTGCCCCCGCGGCCCAGGTCCCTGAGGGCAACCGATGCAGCCCCAGCCCCGCCCTGGGGAGCCGAGGGCAGGGCTCTGCGCTGATCCAACGGCCAAGCTCCCCGCCCCGAGGAGGGCGCGCGGCGGGCCCTTTGGGGCGCTGAGAGGTGGCTGGGAGGGTGACGGCGGCGTCCGGTGATGCACAGGATTTTGTCGCGAAGCCAAGGGCAGGGTCAGAAAGGACCTTTTCCCAGGAAGCCGGGGAGCCAGCACTTGGCCGAGCGGGCGAGTGGCTTGGCTCCTGGTTAGGGCTGCAGCAGCAAAGGCTGTGCTTGGCAGGCCCCGCCCCCGCGGCCTCTGGGCCACACTCGCCCTCAGTCGTGCAGAGGGCGTGACACCCGCCCAACCGGGCTGGCCGCTGTCCAGTCCGAGGCGGCCGGGCACAGCAAGGCACGAGTGTCTACACACACATAGATGCTGACACACACGTGAGTGTGTGTGTACATTCAACATCACAACCTATCATCCTTAAGCTCGTTACGCAGAAGGCGTGCTCATGGCCGTAGATGCTGCCGTTTCTCTTCGTGGCGCGTGGTCCCGGAAGCGCCCGCCCCTCCGCGAAAGTGCAAGCCTACACCTACCCTGACATCTGCGCCTCCCAAAGCCCTCGCCTCCCTGGGTGAGGCGCAGGTTTCAATGGCGAGTGTCTTCCATGCTGCGCCGGGGGCGCTGGGCGGCCCTTTCTACAGGAGCACCCGCAGGCTCGGTGGGCCTGGCATCTCTGAAAGGCAGGCTGAGCCTTCGAAGCCTTGTAGAAAAAGCCTGTTTTAATTTACATTCCCTCCTCGGCCTGCCCTACTTTTAAATCACGGAAGGTTTTACAAATGCGGGTTCAGCACTCCTTCTCCAAACACTCTGTTTTCACGGTAAATGCTAATACTTGAGTAGCCAGTGAGCTGCTCTTGCAGAAGAGGTTTCGCCGTAATAGGCTCAAACGTTAACTGGTGGTAGATTTTGCGCCAGGGGTTTTCTGCAGTGGAGAGCAAGCGGCAGGAAAACAATACAACTTGAAATCTATTAAAGGACTGTTAGTGGCGGAGAAGGGGCAACCTGTTTTTAAGGAAAACTGCAGGGGTGTCGCCGAGTGCAGGGGTGCGCGTTTCCAGGGGAGACCGTGAGCACAGCGGGCGGTGCCTGACTGCCACGCACTGCCAAGGGCTACGCTGGGCGAAGCTGCTTTACGCACAGTTCTTTCCAAAAGCTTACCTACACTGAGAAATCCTGGGTATTGCATGTGTGACTAAATGTGCAGGAGAGAGGGAGAGGAACGGAGACGGAGAGATTACTTTCTGCTGGCAATGAATAAATATATAGCTCGTGAGAGCGTCTGTCTGTGTCACCCTGCAAATTAGACCCCAACAAGCAGCAAGCACTAGGTCCCGTGGAACACTTGGGTGATGGTCGCAACTGCGCCGACTACAGCAGCGGCGGTTTGGCGTAAAACAGGCCGGCCAGTTGACGGAAGGAAGCAAGGGAGCACTCAGCACAGAGGAGCGGAGCCGTCGCGGAGCTGCCTGCGCAGGGGAACCACCCCATGTGGTCACCTGTCCGGTCCGCTGAGTCCCACCCCCTGGACAGGGGCAGTTCCTGTGTGGAGGGGCTCCAGGTCCCAACCAAAATCATTCAAGCCCACACAGTGACACTCGCGTCCTCGGACTGTGCCACTCACATCCTTGGACTGTGCCCGCAGGAAAACCACGGGACCGGGGCACAGGGCCGGCCTTTGGGTGCCTCGGCCCCGGCCTGTTTTTCCGAGGACTGAAGTGTGTTTATTCCAAGGTACCAGTGCAACTTCATTGATGCCTTCTTGGCAGAGAAACACGTTTAAAAAGTTCCCGGTGTCATGCTGTCCTTCCTCCATATGAAATTTATAAAGTATTACTATGAAGGGTTTGCTCTACGCCCATATGATTTCTGTGGTCTGTGAACATTTCTTTTTTGAAAGACTGTGTGTGTTGGTTTTCACAGAGAGGGGAAGGGAGGGAGAAAGAGAGGGGGAGAAACATCAAGGTGAGAGAAACAAGTTGCCTCTTGCCTGTGCCCCCAACTGGGGAATTGATCACCCCCACAGCCCAGGCCTGTGCCCTGACCGGGAATCGAACCGGCGACCTCTTGCTTTGCGGGACGGTGCCCAGCTCACAGAGCCACGCCGGCCAGGGCTGGTCGGCACACAGGAACCCCGGGGGTGTTGGGGCGACCCTCATGCTCGGCAGGCGCTCTCTCACCTTTGTACAGCGTCTTGGGCACCTGGCAGGTGTGCCCACATCCGTTCGAGCAACACTTCTTCACCCCCGAGCACTCATGGTCGACCTCGCAGCTTTCGACACACGCGGCCGCGAAGCCGCTGGCCTTCTCGGGTGCAGGGCAGTCGCCTTGCCTGACGGCCAGGACGTACTTGAGGAACTCGCAGCTCGTTAGGCACTCGTAGCTCTTCTTGGGGAACAGGGGCTGAAGGAGACCAGAGACATTCTGCTCAGGACAGCGGAGAGGAAGCTCAGCGTCCGCGCTCTGCCCGAGGGCCCTGGAACAGCTCACAGAATGAGGCATGTGCTTTCTTTCCCACCGAAGCATAATAGTTTATGCTAATTTCCTAAAGGGCAATGACCCACGAGTTATGACGTTACACGCAACAGACACACGTCGCTTGCACACACATGCATTCACAGCTTATGGCATTCTACCCGAGTTCACAGTGTTGTCAAATAACTGATGTCCAACAGTCGTAAACAGGCGAGGGGCCGCTGGGCGGGCCCTGTAATTCCATCCTCGAATGAGCGCTTTTCTCTGTGCACCGCAGACCCTGGGGTGAGCTGTGACCCTGTAGGACCTTGGCGGTTCTCAGGGCCACGGGTGCTGATGTTTTATCGCCAAGTGGCCTCGGCCTCGGTGCACTGAACCTATTTGAATAACACCCAGCTTTTAGACTCGCTGTGCCCACGGGACCTCTGATCAACAGGGAATTGTGGAGGAGCTGGGCAGCGAAAGCAGGGAAACGTCTTTGAAAGTCATGGCACATGTGTTACCCGTGACACGGCTGGGTTTGAAAAAGCAGCGAGCTGATGACATTTCGGCTGAGCTGCGAACCAGTTAAACATGCGTGAGAACGGGGCTCCCCTGACGGACGCGGGGAGCGCTTTATTGAAAACGCGTGGCGACTGGATGCAATCACTTATCAAAGGCAGCAGCGTGCGGTCGCCGCTAGGCCGTGGGCGGCCGCGGAGGACCTGGGGCGGCTGCCGTCCCTGCAAGGGATGGGGCTGGGGGTCCTGACAGCAGCTGCCCTCGCCGCCCTGCGCTGGTCCTTCGGAAGGGGGCTGCTCCCCTAAGCCGCTTTGGCCCTTGGGAGGGGGCCGCCCCCATAGCTCCCCTCGGCCAGTCACGCCCCTCTGCGCCGCGCCCACCTGCAGGACACCCGTCCAGCCAGGGAAAACCGCTGCCCCCCTTGGGCTGCGCCCTGGGTCGGTGGCGAGGTTGTCGCCGCGGGAGGTTCCGTGCTGCTGTGAGCCCAGGCTTGTGGGAAGTGGCGGGGGGGGGCATGTTTGCCGGGACAGTTCCGTCTGCGGAGGCCGATGTCTGAGGGGGTCCTGCCAACGCCTGCCATGGGTCCTTGACCCTGGAGTCGGAGATGGACGAGGAGGGCGCTTTCCCTTCACCTGATGTCCGGGCGAGTCAGTGTATCAGAAATAAACGCGGTGGCATTGCTGAACACAAGACCGGGGAGAGAACAGGAGTCTCTTGCGGCCCAAGGCCAGCAGGCTGCCTGCGGCTCCACACTGGTGACCGGGAACGCCTGCAGACACCTGGGGACACCTGGGGCACCAGGGTCACTCCGAGATCACCTGCCAGTGGACTGCCTGCGGCGCCTCACTGACAACTGAACGCAGCTCTCGACCACCTGGTACCGCCTGGGCCCCACCTAGTAGCCCCTCCTGCCACCTGCGTAGCACCTGAGCAACACCTGGTAGCACCTGCTGGGTACCGCCTGCTGCATCCGGTGATGACAGCGTATGACTCTCTGCCACCCGGGGACACCTGGGCACACCTGCCCGCACGCCAACCGCTGCCCCGCCCCCCTCTGGGAACAGACTGTAGGATGCCCTGCTCAGCTGGGGACACCGACGCAACCTGGCAACAGACAGGCTCGGAGGACAGTGGCACCATTAACCAGGGAGCAGGTTCCGCGGTGGTGGAGATGCGGCAATTACAGAAAGGAAAATAGCAGCCTCACCATTATCAAGGTCTCTGGTGGGGAGTGGGGGGGCGGGGCAAAAACATGCAATGTCTCTATCTCTATTCCAAAAGGAGGGTGACTTGGAGCCCATTACTGCCCATGCTGATGAGGGCTGGAAAAGCCACGGGACACTGAGGACATGAGGACGTCACAGGGACATATCCCAGCAGCCCGTGGGAGCCCCAGTGCCAACATAAAGTGCCCTCCCAGGCCCTCCGGTCTTCTCTCCAAACCGTGAATTTAAAACACCATGCATGTACGTTAACGTGGTAAATGTTATACTGCGCATATTTGACCGCAAAGCTTTACAAACCTATGCAAGCGTGAGAAATTGCTACACAAATCCCCGAAGGATGTGTTCAGCGCGCAGGGGTGTTCTCTGATGGCCACAGGAGCCTTGTGATAGTGTAGATGTCATGTGTGTCATGGCTGAACTGCTCGAAGACAGGGACACAAAAGAAAACGACCTTACACTCGGGCTACCACAAGGCGAAAAACGACAAAAGCTACCTAGAAAAACTATAACCCCAAGGTTTGAATTAGAACTGTGGACATCAAATAAAACTGATCGTTCATAATCCTATGTAAAATCGGAAAATGACGTCGGCTGACCGATTGAGAAGAGCGTCTCAACTGAAGAACTTTCCAGGTAGAACGCAGAAGGCAGGCCGCGGGTTCCGCATTGAATTACCGCAAGTGTGCGGCGGGTTAATTTTTCTAAACTCTGTATAAGCACTGAAAGCATCACCCAAGGCGTTTCTCTCTTGCTCGACGCCACAGTCCATTGTTCTGTTAACTCTGGAAGTTCTCCACGCAGGTCCAACGCTAAGTGAGCAGAGAGATGTGCCGTGGGATCTGCAGCAAAGCACTGGCCAGCTTTCTGCTTCCGGCAAAATGTGTACGTTATGGGCACTGGAAGAAAACACTCCGTTACCAGGGCCACCGGCCCCTGACGCTGGGCTGAGACTTCCAAGTAAATTATTGTATTAAACCTGGCAACTGTTCACCGCTCGCGAACTTTGAAATCACGGTGACTTAGTTTGCTCCACGGTAGAATCACAACCGTTCCGTCCACAACTTGTTCTCTGAAAACAGGGCGTGGCTCAACACTCAGGCAACAGTACGGGCTCTCTGTTCACGGTACTCTAATTGCGTCTGTGTGTGCCAGCCACCGCGCCCTTCCACTGAGGGGCAGGAAAGCAGGGAAGGTATCGCCTCATCTTAACAACTTACTGAGTTAATGGGGCCAAATTAAGAACAAACACGCAGGCACTGGCTTAGACAGATCAGCAACATGTGCTCCCAGAGAGGGTAGAGAATGCTCGTCATTAGCACAATAGCGTACATCTTCCAGTCGATCTCAAAGTTGTTTGGTGTGTTTATTCAATATGTTTCTTTTTGGCATGGATTCAACACTGTGATCTCTCTGTCAGGATTTTGAGGACCATGGAAACAAAAACGCTCATGTTTGCACGGGAGCCTTCTAGAGTGATACATGAGCTTGAAATAATACAAAAAAAACGCATTATAAATATTACATGAGGTCATGCATACAAAGCACTACACGCTGTTCTGTAACTTGGGCCACAATAGCTACTCAAATAAGAGTGCAGGAAAGTGGTGCCTTTTTTTCCCCTGGCAGCTACAAGTTTACTGTTGAACGTTTCTAAATTCTTCTGTTACTCTGACAAAATGTCATAGGATCCAAAGACAGAAAGTGGGCTCTGCTTCGTCTACAGGGTGACCATCCACAAGTTCTCAACATGCTGCCAAAAAGCCCTAAAATCTGCAGAGAGGGGAGCGTACCCTGGTGGAATTTATAAGGAAAAAATCACCTAAGTTTTTTAACTTCATCCAACTTTACAGAGAAGTTCCACTTTACTGTGCCCTCGTTCCTATCTACAGAAGATGAATTTCGATGCTTCTTACAATAGTCGTGGGTAACTATCGCGAGTTAGGTTGAAGGAATAAGAATGGTCTGGATGTAATTGGAAAACATATGGTATCTGTACACAGGTCTCTCACCATGCCTTTAATCAAAGCTTAATGAGCATTTTCCAGTGGAATGAAAAGAGGACAAAAATGCATACAGGCCAGAGAAAATGAGGGAACAGTAATATTCCAGATGTAAAGAAAATATGTAAAGGGGTCCCTCAACAGCCAGTTGGAAACCCTGTGAACACAAGGTCATTTGGGTATTAGAAAAAAGTTGTGGCCATTAGGGATGTGCTATTTCTTGTGCTATCCCAAGGTGGTATCACACAGACTGGTCCAGAGGGATGTTCACGTTCTGGGACAGGTGCGAGGTATTGAAATCATCGTGCGTGTAACGCCCATCAACCTCATGGCAAATAAAAATATTCATGGCAACACAGGCATATGTGTAAAACATTAAGTGTCTTCTTTGTACAGTTCTATCCGGCCCATTAAGGCAAATTATTAATTGTAAAGTTAATGTAACTACAATTCCTTTATAAAACTATTCACATGACTAATTCCACAAATCACAGAAATGGCAACTTTGGCCAGATCATTGGCTCCTATTTAAAATTTGGAAAGATTATGGCTATTGTGCTCATTAATTTTTATTCAGTGCCTGCTTTTTCTGCCCTTCTTGTATGGAACACTAAGAACAGAATAAACTTCAAAGACCATGTATTCTTCTAGAGTAGTTAGTATCTAACAGATGTCATTGTGCATCCAGGGAGGTTGATAAAACAAGGTGCTGAAAGGAAATGCCTTTGGGTGCATTAGATTAAAGACAAATCCTTCATCCTTTAATTACTATTATGTTTAGTACCTGGGGGGCGGGGGGGAATGGCTATAAATCTCTCCTCCATACATCTCTTAGCTAAAAAAACTAAAGTATTCTTTTAGTGACTTACGTGAGCCATATGCGAAGCTCCTGTGACCTGCGGCAAGTGATAAACATCAAATAAAATACTGACAGCAGCAGGCAACAGTTTGGGGATGCTTTTCAAAAAGATGCTACTATCTTCATCTTGGTGGGTGTAAATGGGAGCTCTGGCGCCATAAAATGATTTTTGCAGAAATCGCGGGATGATGAATAGAAAAACATTAAAATCAGTAAATCATCTTATAATGTTAGAAATTATAGCAACCTGATCGAGAGAACATTGGATTTGGTATTCAGTTCTGTTCAACCTAAGTGTACAATGTGCCAGATCTCAAACGTGGCAGCCTTTACCCAGAGCCA